CCAATATGCATGTAGCTGGAGGGGATGCTCTGAAAACCACCCTGAAGTGCTTGCTCTGCTCCTACCTTCTCCCTGCAGGACCCTTGGAGATGGGACACGGTGCCAGACACCTCTGGAGAAAATCACTACAAACACTTCAAGGAACAGAGAGTAGCATCGACATTTTGCCAATCCATCCCGTGCTAAACAGTGAGCAAGCTTCTCCTCCGGGAACGGTGCACTCCCTGGATCTGCAGGCTCTCAGCTGCCATGACCTCCAGGAAAGGGGGGAATCGGACCAAAAGTGAATAGGAAAGTTTGTCTTTATAAACACGACATGTGCCAGCACCTGTGTGAAAGGAAACCTGGAAGAAATGCTCAAGAGGGTGAACACAGACTGCCTGATAAGCAGCATCCAAGGCAAGAGATCACATCTGAGTGGGTCCAGGTCTGCCCGTAGCATAAGCAGAGATCAGCAACATAGGGGTGGATGTGAGTAGAGCTCTCCTCACCTCCGACATCAGCAGAGAGCCAGCACATTGTGGCCCTTTTCTGCGGTGAAGCCTCATGGGTGATGGCCTTGAGCTGGGCCAGGCGTGCAGCCCTGACCATCTCCCTCCAAGCACACGTCCAGGGCTGGCCGGGGATGCTGAGATGTTAGGTGGGCACCAGGGTTTCTGCTCTCTGCTCAGGCTCTGGTGCCAGAGCAGCAGCTCCCCAAAGCACCCAAGGGTCCTGGGAGGGCAGGGGAAGGGTCTGCAGGGTCAGTGGAGCTGCGGCCTCTTCAACACTCTTGTGCAAAGCACAGCATCAAGGCATGGGCACGATGCAGTGCATGAAAAATGCTCAGTGCTGACAACACAGAACAGCATGGGACTTCTGCAGAGGTCAAATCAAGGAGAGACCCCTTGCAAAGCCCAATCCCAGGACATTCATCCATCCGCTGGGTGGAATGAACATCTTGTTGCACAAGTGGTTCATCCAGAGCTGGCGTTTGCTGGGGTTTTGTGCCTCCTTCAGCTCTGCTAAGGCTCTGGTTGAAAGCTTCTCCCTTCACAACTTCTTCTGCCCAGGTGGATCCTCCAGCGCCAGATGAGAAACAGGTTTGAGGTGCCTTTCTGCCAACAGAGCTTTTATGCCTTATTTGTACAGGTAGTGGTTTGTGCTCGGCCTGGCTGCATGTTTTCAACACACTTTTCAGACTCTTGAGTCTGCAAAACCCTCAGTCACTTTCACCTTAACCCAACAGATAGGTCTGAAAGGGAAAGGGAGAGGAATTTGCAGAGACAGACACCCTGAAACACCCCACGTCTCCAGCCTTTAAGGAGCCAGGTAAAAAAATCATCTATTAGAAATCCTATTTAATCCTTCCCAGATAGGACATGGGTAATATAAGGGAAAAGAAATACCTACTTTGGATCGTTTCTGCCACTACCATGTTTGCTCAGAGAATGACATGGACACTGTCACCTCCTCTGTCTTTATATGACACAGGAATCCAGCACTGGGTTGAGGTTAAGTGGGTAAATGGGGACAGGGACCTATGTGGATGAATAACAGGCAATATGCGACCACATCTGAGTCCTTGCAATCAGGGGACAGGGACCTATGTGGATGAATAACAGGCAATATGCGACCACATCTGAGTCCTTGCAGCTCTCTGTGCCCACGATCCTCACCTGTAGGAAGGCAATAACCCCTCCTCATACCTGCCTAGGTGCTGCTCTTCCAGCCGGGGTTACGTTTTATTGCCCGGCACAGCGGGGACCCGAAACGAGACCCCAGAGCAGGGAGAACAAAGCGCCTCTCCATGCCGAGAGGCATCCGACATTTTTCCAAGCCATCCCAGCCAGGTTGCAGCAGCAGAGACGCTGGCCGGAGGTGCCCTACGCAGCCGGCAGCACCGGGAGGGCCCTCGCTGCCGTGGCTGGCTCTGCTGCAAGGCCTCTGTGTTCCTCCCAGAATAGCAGCGCGCAAACCTCGGTGCTTCTCTTCCAAACCAATCTGCTTTTTTAGAAACTAATTTGCAAAGCCTCGGACCCTGCGGCTACGAGCGAAGCCTGGCTGTCTGAGCAGCACTCCTCAATTACTGCACCTCCAGGACAGCAGCTTTTCCCAAAGCGACGCCGGGAGCTTCGGCTTGGGAGCGGGTTTTTGCCTGCAAGGAAAAATAGGAAGTCCTGCCAGAAGATTCCCAGGATCCTGCAAGGCGCGGGGACAGGATCCATGGAGGTGTCAGGGGTGGCAGCAGGACAACACAGGGCTCCCGGTGGAGCTGCTGGGAGCTGGAGGTGGCACCTCTCGCCAAGCTCCGCTGGCTGGACGTCATGTCCCATGTCCCCAGCGCCAGGAGGGGCCGAGCAGGGTGTCCTCAGCGCGTCTTCCCCCAGGCTCACGTCGCTGCACAGCATCCTCACAGGCGACCGCCGAGGGTTGCTAAACCCCACCGGGCATCTTCTCCTCGCTTCCTACATCCGCAAGCCACCGGCCGGCTCCACTGGAGGCTGGTGGGTCCGCCGCGCCCGCC